TGGGTTTATTCAGCGGCTGGTCAAGTAATGAAGGTAAGGAATACAAGGTGACCAGCATATTTGGTTGTTGATTGCTTTCAAGGTGGAAGGAGAATCAAGTTTGATTTCAGAATACTGGGTGGAGGTGTCTGGTGTACAAGACAAAATATGGTGTGAGGTTCTGGCAAAGACAGCTGGGGCAACATCTGGGAGTCAGTGGATAGGTGAAAGCTGAGGCCAAGACACCAAAGACAGCAAGTTGGGTCATGATTCCCAAATTGGGCGGCGTGGGGGAGGGGTAGTTGGTAGCAGGAGACTGGCGTGGTCCCTCTCCCCACTGAATTTACAATCTTGCAAGGTGGACGGGCTCCCTCCCCGCACCAAGCCTTAGCTCTGCGGAGGAGCTGAGTCGTGAGATAACGGATTTTGCCTAGAAGAGGTTCCCTGCCCCCAAACAGTCCTTAAGCCCCCGTAGGGATCAAGCTGAATGGAGCTCAGCCCCCCACCTGCCGAGTCACCACCCTCCCTTTCGGCGCCTCCATGACAACGGCTGCCATCAGTCCTGTACAACTGCGCAGAGGATGCTGCAGCGCTGGGGTCTCTGGGATTGGCTCACCGTGCCTTCCATCCCAACAAGCTTCTTTGCCTTAATTTTACTTCTAACTTTAATCATTCGGAGCAATGATCTGATTTACGAAGACACTGGACTGTCACGTAAGGGCCAAGTGACGTGACTTGTACAGTAACATTAACTGCCGTATGTGGGATGTTTGGTGGGTTACAAGGCTGAGAGATCAGTTAAGTACTGTAATAACCCGGACCTGATGTAATACTGTGCCAATTCATACAAGGGATGATAAGGGAGTGGCAGGTGACAAACTTGAGAAAACTGGAGGATAGGTTAGTTGTTAAGGGGAGAGAGGAGCTGAAGATGACAGATTTCCCTAACTTGGGCAAGATCTGTGGTTCGAAAAGTTATAACAGAGTTATGGAATATGGGAAATGAATGAGTTGTTATAGGTATGTCAAGTTTCATGTGATGCCAGGGCTCTGGGGCATGGAAAGCTTAGAAGACAGATAGAAACAGGCCTCTGTAAGTCAGGGAAAAGTGAAACCAAGAATTAAGGAATTAGGAGTCATTAGCGAACAGGTGACAGTTAAAACCAGAGGGTGGTAGAGAGCTGACAACAGCAGGAGAAGAAAGGAGGGTCAATGCAGAACGCTAGAGAGTAGCGACATTTAACGAGAAAGGTGAAGGGAAACCAGCAGTGGAAACAGAGATAGAGCAGTTAGAGCTAGAATCAGCAGCAAAATAAACACTGTAACAGAACACAGTGTATTAGAGATTCTTTAATATGAGCAGTATGAACCTCTTATTAATAACAGTTCGGGCAATCCTTTTGCCCTCTAAATGTGAATAAACTATTTTGTATCAGCTCCAGAAACTGCAGGATTCACTGTGTCTTACACCAGAATATTTTAAATCAGAGGACCAGAAAACTAAAGCTGGAAAGTACTTTAGAGATCTTCTAGTCTAATCCCTTCTGGATGTGAAAAAACTGAGACAAGCTCTATATCTATATAAAAGCATGAAATCCCATACATTCTGAGGTCCATAGGCATTTTATTCTAATCATTATAGAAAATGGTGATAGGACTTTGGGTCCTATTTCATCCATCCAGACTTTTCAACTCTTAAAGTTAAGACTTATAACATTTTCATACTTTAAATTCAGCCAAGATGACTATCAAGTCTTTTAATGAATATAATATCTGAAAATATAGTTTGGATAACTATTATTATGTCAGTCCTCAAATCCAATTTGATAGTGTAAAACCAAAAGAAAATACTTTACAGAGGTTATAAGATAGATACCTCTACATGGTTATAGTTTTTAAAAGCTTACCCTTATATCTCTGAATACTCTTCAATTAAATAGAAATACTGCACAAAGTACAGTAATTTGTCAGCATAAGTTGATGCATCTGTGGTCTCCAATATGTTAAAAATTTGGTATATTTTTTATGTGCATTGTTTTCTGTTACTGGTGTTTGTGTGTCTGATTAAAATTTTAATAAAAACCTTGGTGAAACGGCATAAGTACTACTGTAGGTATAGAACAGACACGGATTTTCTTGGAACAAAATATGAAAACCTTGAAGATAAAAGTAAAAATAAACATCTATTGAGTACTTAATGTATTTAAGTATAAGTTTGTGAAGAAGGGAAAAACATTGAAATTTTTTTCGTGGTTTAATACAAAGAGTCCTATTTGACGCCTTGATTCTTTTTTTTTTTAATTTAATTTTTATTTTACATTGGAATATAGGTGATTTACAACGTTGTGTTAGTTTCAGGTACACAGCAAAGTGACTGAATCCCTGATTATTTTTTTAACATCAAAGATTTATATAAGACATTAAACCAATATATAAAAAACACCATCAATCCCTGCCTTTCTACTAGGCCAGGGTTTCTTAACCTTGGCACTACTGAGATTTGGGGCCAGATAATTCTTTGTTGGTGGTGATAGGGGTGCTGTCCTGTGTGCTGTAGGTTGGTTAGCAGTATCTGTGGCCTCTACCCACTAGATGCCAGTAGTATCCCTCCTCCAAAGTTGTGACAACCAAATGTCTCCAGACGTTGCCAAAGTTGCCCTGAGGAGCAAAACTGCCGCAGCTGAAAACAACTGTACTAGACCATTCTCATCAGCATAATGCATATTCAAGTATCTTCAGTTAAAAACAATAAACTACAGGTTTTCCTTGATTTACGATGGAGTTACAAGCCGACAAAACCAGCATAAGTTGAAAATATCTTGAGCCAAAAATGCCTTTAATACACCTAACCTACCAAACACTAGCCTAGCCTACCTTAAACATGCTCAGAACACTTACATTAGCCTACAACTGGGCAAAGTCATCTAACACAAAGCCTGTTTTACAACAAAGTACTGCATACTTCATGGAATTTACTGAATCAGTATTCAGTTAAAACAGAATGGTTGTATGGGTACAGCATGGTTGTAAGTGTACTTGGCTGTTTAACCTCATGATCTGAGGTACTGGCTGACTGGAGCTGTGGCTTGTTGCCCATCCCCAGAATCAAGAGAGAGTATCAAAAGGCATATTGCTAGCCTGGGAAAGGATTAAAATTCTAAATTTAGGGCTTCCCTGGTGGCGCAGTGGTTGAGAGTCCGCCTGCCGATGCAGGGCACACGGGTTCGTGCCCCGGTCCGGGAGGATCCCACACGCCGTGGAGCGACTGGGCCCGTGAGCCATGGCTGCTGAGCCTGCGCGTCCGGAGCCTGTGCTCCGCAACGGGATAGACCATGGCGGTGAGAGGCCCGCGTACCGCAAAAAAAAAAAAAAAAAAGAAAGATTCTAAATTTGAAGTACAGTTTCTACTGAATGTGTATTTTGCTTTTGCACCATCATGAAGTCAAAGAATCTAAGTTGCAGCACTGTGAATCGGGGACCATCTGTATGCCCTTGATCCTACACTGTCTTCCACCTAAAACCTCAGTTGTTTGACTATTTGCATAGCTAAAATTCTAGAAAAGAGTTGTTCACACTCATGGGTTCCACTACCTCCAATGAACTCTTCAAGATACTGCAGTCTGGTTCTATATCTATCAGTGCTCAAGACACCAGTGATCTCTGTCTTGTCCACTACAATGGACATTTCTCTTTCCTTTTCCAAATTCCAGTAGCATTTGCCCTAGGTGACCACTCTCTCCTCTGCTCACCGGTTTATGAATGTTGTACTCTATTTCTCCCACTATAATCTGTCTGCTCCTACATCACACTCTTTTTTCTCTATCCTTAATGTTAGAGTGTGTCAGAGCTTGGTCTGGGCCTTCTGCCTATCTGTGTTCTCCCTCTATGTGAGCTCATGTAAGCCCAAGGCTTTAAATACCCCTCTATGAGCTGATGAATCCCAAATTTATATCCTGAACCTACACCTGTTCTCCTGGACTCCAGGCTCATTTATATAAATTTCCTAATTGAGAGCTCCAGTTAGATAATTCACAGTCATTTCAAAATTAATACGCTGAAAAACGAGTTCTTAACAGTTATCTTAAGAACCACCCTGCACAAACTTTTCCTCTGTATTTTTCCTCATGGCTGTAAATGGTGCCGCCATTTACCCATTTGCTCAATTCAGAAAAAAGAAAAATCAGCCACCTGAAGTCATTTTTGATTAACTCCCTTTTCATCTGCTGCTTCTAAAGCATCACCAAGTCTTGAGTTTTCCATCTGCACAACGTATCTTAAATATGTCCACCTCTCTCCATTTCCAGTACTACTGCCTCAGACCAAAGCACCACAATGTCTCACTTGCGACATTCAATTACCTGGTCTCCCTCCTTCTCTCTAGACTTCCCCACATCCAATCCATTCCCCACCCAGCAGCCAAAAAGGTCTCTATGTCACTCGTACATCTCAACTGAATAGCTGCAGGTTGCTTTTAGAATAAAAATTAAAACCATTTCCACAGTGTATGAGGATGCCTGCCTCCCTAATTTCACCCCTTCTCTGCCCATGACTGTGTGCCAGAATCACAGGTCCCTTCTCTGTCACAGGAACGAGCCCAAACTACCCTCACACGGAGGCTTTGCATTTGTTTGTCCCATTGCCAGGGATACACTTCCTCTGCCCTTCTCATTACTCAGCCCGGAAGGTCCCGCCTGGCAAGTCACCTCACCTGACCTTTTCAGACAGGCGTCCCCTGCCAGGCACTCTAAGGTGGCCTCCCGGTTTACTACCTCACCAGGCAGTCATTTCCATCTCAACAGGTAACATGACCTGTAATCATATCCCAGGCATTTACCAACTTGCTTACTTACGTGCCTGTTTATGCATCCCAATGAGGGAAAAGTACACCTGGTATCTCTTTTATTCCCTTTGTTGCATCTAACACAGAGCTTTGCACATGGCTGTCAGCCAACAGGTACTTATTGAGTAAGTGAATGAACAAATCTTAAATAGGAGAGTAAAGATACAAAACGTTAACTTACCAAGTGTCCGGAAAGGCCTCTGACTTGGTAAATGGGAGAAGAAACCAGGCTTCAATGCATTTGTAATCACAATGTCAAAAAGATATTCAAAATCATTCCTGAAAAACAATGATATTTTTCATAAATTTATTTTAAGGAATTAGAAAAGGTCCATATAAAACAGAACTTAACCTTTGCCTATTTGACCACAGCATCATTTCTGATCTTTTGATTAACTTTTCTATGCTTTCTATACATTCTAAGGTGAACCTTACACTGGAAATAGAAGGTAGTCAAGCACTAATCATCCTGACACCACCCTGAAGTATCAATACAAACATAAGGGGGAAAAAAAGCATATTAACTCATTAACTCTAGGGGCTAAGCTGGCTTTCTCACTATGGCAATAATTATAGTGTGTAAATTCAATAGTTTCTAACACCTAAAATATTCACGAGCTACGTTTTCAAATTTGGGGCCTGAAATTTGTCTCGATTTATTAGCATCAAGAGTTATTAATAATTTTGTGTGTTACATGGGTCCTACAGAAAGCTAGCATTATATAACAGGTCAGATGACATCTTACAGAGAGTGTTCAAAATGTGAAGATACCTTATTTTGAAAATCAGGGTAGTATTATAATATGGTAATTTTTAGGCAACAATAATAATTGTTTTTTAGTCTGTACTTAACACTATATTAAGGATTATTTGGTACAGCAAAGGAAAGATAGTCCTTGCTCCTGACAGACTCACTATTACACTGGGGAGATAACATTTACCCAACATTCCAGAATACTTTTACACAGCAAAACAACACTGCAGAGGAATTAAGATATGAAGAAAAAGTTTGGTAATCTATGCTAATGAAAAAGAAATTAAGACTTCCAAGTGTTTATTCTGAAGCATGGTCCCACTACCAGGACAGCAAATGTCTCTATAAAAGGCACTTTCCAAGGCATCCAGGGCTGCAGCCTTAATTCACTTCAAGGATCCCAAACCTACACATTAATCAGAAAGCAGAAAACCACCGACAGACTGTAAGTACACCACAGATCAATCTGAATCCACATGTGCTGAGGAACATGGAAATCAGGAAGCTAAACAGGTTGGCAAGAGGTCAGTTTTGAGGCTAAAATTTGCTTCATACTCACGGCAACTCAGTACAGTATCTGCTAAAATTTGAGGAAACAGTAGGGGAGATCTAACAGCTCATTTTAGAATCTAGCTCTGACCATTGATATTCCCTGGCATTGCCCATAAGAATGCCATAGATAAGTATTAACACTTGTTGAGACTTACCAACTACCTTCATACTTTTACCTGTATTGTGCTATTTAAACTTCCTGTCACACCTATGAGATACTACTGTCCCATCTTTAAGATGGTGAAATTGAGGCTTAGAGAGGTCATGGAACCTACCCTAGGTCACAGGGTGAATTGCAAGGCAGGGCTTGAGCCCATGACTGTCTTATTTTCAGTCTATGCATTTATGCTGCCTCGATGTTCATGGATGTCAATCCCACCCCTGGCCGTGTAAATGGGGAAGTGCCTGGCTCCACACGGAAATGCCTACAGAGGGATTGTATTCCAGGTAAGCGTCAGGGGCTATAATCTACAACTCAGTGTCCCTCAATAATCATCCAAAGCTGAGAAACCAAATTCACAGAGGACTGCCCTAAGGACATGCGGTCCATCCACCTTTCAGAAAAGCTAAAGCCCAGACTATGAACAGGCTCTGAGCATACTGACCTGGTAATACCGCTCTGCTACAATGTACTTGGGGTGTGTTTCTGTCAGGAGATGTTAAGGGCTGTTATGAGAAACAACCACTTGTCACTCAGCATTGTTTAATATAATGATATGGTCACGGCTAACACTTTCAAAAAGGCACTGGTGTAATTTGTTATCAGCATTTTATAAGATCATGAAAACGAAATGACTCGTCACTTACCCAAGAATATATTCACAGAGGAGTCTACAGTAATCACTGTGAGAACTGGTAATTAACATAAGAATTTTCCCAGCATTTTTTAGCTGTCGAAGCCACTTTTTAACAGATTCTGGACAAGTGTGTAAATACCTGCCTGGATCTCTCTTTATTTCTGGAAAATATATTCCACAGTTTTCTGAAAAATAAAAATATCAAGGAGGTTTTTTTTTTTTAAATTTTTTGACTCAGTGTATTCTCAAACAAGTTCCTCTCTCTCAAAGCTATACATAAAACTAAAAGGATAAAAACTAGGTTCGAATAATCCAGCAATGACGCCATTACTAATTTCTTTTTAAGAATACTTCTTGTTCTTAAAAACATGATGATTGAGAATGTCAGCTGAAAATATTTTTTGGTTATTTGACAAGGACTGATAAAGTGTTAAAACAGGTAACACGATAAACACAATACATGAGCATTTTCAAATCAAAGAAAACCTTACTGCATTTGAAATGTCAATTAATAAATATTCTTTCAATCATTCAACAAATATTTGCTGAATACGGATAACAAATACATATTCAGATAATGCACCAGGAACACATCTTTGGCATGATGCAGTGGAGAAGGGAGCTGGGTTCCTGAGTCAGTGTTTTTTCAGATGAAACTGAGACTAGAGGCTCTGGTCTATTACAGCCCCTGGGAGGTGATGTGATGTTAAATGGAAAAACAAGTCATAAAAGGCAGGAAGGGGACTTCCCTGCTGGTGAAGCGGTTAAGAATCCACCTGCCAAAGCAGGGGACACGGGTTGCAGCCCTGGTCCAGGAAGATCCCACATGCCGTGGAGCAACTAAGCCCGTGCGCCACAACTACTGAGCCTGCGCTCTAGAGCCCCCGTGACGCAACTACCGAGCCTGCATGCTGCAACTACTGAAGCCCGCGCGCCTAGAGCCTGTGCTCCACAACAAGAGAAGCCACCGCAACGAGGAGCTCGAGCACCGCAAGGAAGAGTAGCCCCTGCTCGCTGCAACTAGAGAAAGCCGCACAAAGCAATGAAGACCCAGTACAGCAAAAAAATAAAAATTATTTAAAAAATCATTAAAAAAAAAAAAGAAAAAGAAAAGGCAGGAAGGCAGTGCAGGTGACAGTGAAAGCCAAAGAACCTGAGTCACTGAGCTGGGCTTGCCAGCTCTGTCCCTTTGGGTCTTTAGAGCCCAGGGGGTCAGCCTGAGCTCCGAAGCAGCTGGTACCAACATTTCCAGAAGTCCTGGTCAGATGCACCCACTATGTTTGATATGATGCCTTAAAAGTTATGAGTACTTAGGCATATAATTGCAGATTTGGTTGAAATGCTACTAGATACTGTTTAGAGATACTGTTCTTTGGGTATGATAGCATACTGTAGGCAAATAAAGAGAACCTGAGTTCCTACTTTCCTCAACTGCTAGGAAAAAGACACATGCATAAACAAAGCAAGAAGTGAACGAGCTTATAGTGAATTATAAACTCTGCAATAGATATAGGCTATAACTATAATTCTGTACAATGTCATGCACTTGAAATAAATGAAATGGAAGTTATATATCAAGAATGTCAGGACAGGACAGAAGAGTCTCTTAAGAAAAAAAAAAAAAAGAAACAAAAGCAGAAATGGTAGCAAATACTGTTGTCTGACCGCCCAAATCCACTCCCCTCCTTCTTTGCTAAAGAGTATTCTGATTTTGTCTGAGGTTTCATCCTCCTCTGAGGGGCTAGGTGCTCAGGGAGGGTGGGTGTCTACCAGTCTAACCTAACAGGATAATTCCTTCGCATGTCCTGGTCGTGTAAAACAACCCAATTTAATGAGCTTAAACATTAAGGATATCTATTATTTTCAGACTACAGCATCTCTGTTCAGAAAATAATACATTATAGGAATTAATCATAACCAGATTAAAAAAATTACTTAACAAAATAAAGAATATGTTACAAAATGAGAATAATATTCAGACATCAGAACACCAAGAAAAACAAAGTTTGTGCTCTTGTATTTTGCCCTACAGAGAACACATGTGTAAATCTCTAGGATCTCTTAATATCCCAGAAGCTATGTAATGGCCCTTAAAAAAAATTAAAGTATACCTTGTTTTTCAGGGAAGAGGAGGTACCAGTAGTAGAGGACTAATTTAAGGAAGACAGAAGAATAAAATTAAATAACTAAAAATAGAATAGTTTGATGAGTGAGTGGCTATCAAAGCAATGGCAGAAGCTGTGTCTTTCCCAGAATTTATCTAAAGGAATCATATGTAAGATTATTTCACCCAGAAAAACAAAGCTTTTGTAGCAACAGTAATATTATGGGCTGGATAACAAAAGATTTGTAGTATGTAATGCTGAGAACATTAATATACTTAAGCATCTGTATTCAAAAACAATTGCTGAGAAAAGGCTATTTTTTCCTTAGCTATATGTACTTAGTGCCATCTAGTGATCAAAATATAAGTTACTGTTAAAAAGCTATTTCATTTCCAAATGTATAAAATAAAACATATACATTTGAATACTATATTTAAAAATTCTTGCTAATTCTAGATTAGTATTAGTTTCCCTTAATAAGCCTAATGTAAAAGAGTGCAAACATAATAGCCTAGTTGGAGAAAATTACTCTCTGAGGAAATAATGGGGATGTCCTCGTTTTGTTCACAAGCCAGAGTGAAATGAACGAACTAAAAAAGACAAGTCCTGTACAAACAGATACCCCATGGCAAGTTATGGGTCGCTCTTGCTATAAAAGATCACTAACTGTTGTTGGGTAAAATATTTTCATTCCCATGTAACCTTAAATCATTAAAGAAATAGGAGGTATATTAATATAAATATACTCATCTTTTTAAATTTTATTTTTATTGATATAACTGACATATAAACTTACATACTATGTAAGTCTAAGGTGTACAACGTGTTTATTTGACACGTACATATTGCAATATGATTACTACTATAGCATGAGCTAACACCTCTATTATGTCACATAATTATCATTTCTTTTTTTGTGGTGGGGACAAAAAGATCTGTTCTCTTAGCAATTGTGAAGTTTATAATTTAGTACTGCTGTCTCTAATACACGCTCATATTTTGTTGAAATAAATCAAGCTGTTAAACCAAAGGAATTTATGTTAAACATACTACACTGGAATAATAACTGCCTATTAAATTATTTGCCTAAAGGTAGGGAGTCTGCCTTTTTGCTCAGCAGGGAGCAATCATTCAATGAATGAATACTTAAATTAGTTCAGGGACAGACACAGGAACATTTATGTTTATTTAAGATCAAAGTAATAATATGATTTGTAACATATTACCTGTGACAAAAAACTGTATCATTCATGTCCTATCCAAGTCATGTTATCTAAAGTACCTTCTTTTTTTACCCCTATTGATAAAAATAATCGTGTTAATTATATTTTTATACTGATAGAGTAACACTGAATAGACAAGACAAGGGATTGAGACCTAAGGCGGAAAGAAAGGAATGGTCTTGTCTGTTCCCAACTCACAAAGCAGACTGTGTTTTCACTTAACCTCAAAGGAATTCTATTTCACTGCCGTTTTACGTAACTCATTTTCCTGGCCTTCCCATCCCTCTTCTCTCCTCAGATACTGGTATTTTCTGTATCCAGATGGGATTAAAAGTATAATTTTTAAAAAGCTAGTTCTAAAAATAAAAGTTTTGTCCTTTTATATTAAAAATTGGGTTAACATAGAGTCATGGGAATAACAGCAAAGTGTTGCGACAGTCTGACGGGCACTGAAAATGGCCTGCATGTATCAAACGTGATTAAGGATTTGAGGGACCTCTAGTGGTAAAAAAAAAAAAAAAAAGTACAACTTGAATAATAAAACTCTTTTTTAGTCTAATAGGTAATCGTGCCACATCACGATTTCTATCATCATGGCGTTAGTAAGCATTTTCCTCACTTACTGTATCACTACTGTTTGTGTGATTTGTGGCTACAGTTCTCAAAGCTGTTGTGCAGGGGGATTAGAGATGCCAGGATGCTAATGACACCTCCACCATCAGCCTCCAAATAAGGTCTGTTGTTATTTCCACTGCAGAACACATAATTCAGGAGAGACTGAAATATTTACAACCTTTATAGGTTATAGAAGAGCATGCTAATGAATAGCTAAAATGTTTAGTCATGAACTGTTTAAATGTACTTGCTGTAAGAGATGATATAATATTCTGAAATATACATATACTATATGATTTTTTTGGCCAAGAGATACTGAAATAGTTTTTGAAGGATGAAGGAGATAAAAAATAGATCAAATATGTTCTAGATTTCATTTCTTTATTTACAGAAGGCAAAAGACAAAACTGAAATTTAATATTAAAATAGATTTCTTGTTTATGGTTCCTGTATGATTTGTTTCTAATATATTTGTAAATTAAGAAATCCTGAATGTCTAGATTGAGTAAAGTGAGTATCTATGTGCTAAATATAATGCTTGGAAAAGGAAAACAAATAAGAATTGAGAAATGAAGTATAAAATGTACTGAAAAACATAATTTATAAAATTTTACATTAATAGTATTTGACTTTCATCTCTGTATCTGTTACCTACCCCAAAGATTCTGATTTAATTGGTCTGGGCTGGGGTTACCTGATATCCCCAGGTAATTTCAATGTACAGTCAGGATTAAGAATTATGGCTCTAAGCTATAAGAACTAGAACTTTTGCTATTATTATCTGTATATCTTGCATGCATCATTGTATATCACTGGCTCTCAGAGAGCAGGGATTTCTTAATTTTACAGTATCTGATTACCTAACATGCGGCTTTATACATAAGAGGCAACCAATACATATTAATTACTGCTGATGTGCGATGTCACACATGGGCATGAACACTGAATGAAGAACCTTGCCTGATAAAGAGAAGACTTGTGTTGGAGATGAGACTGGAGAGAAGGGAAAGCATATGAAATTTAAACATTCAAATGCAAGAGCACTGAGAGCTAAGGGACACTGGCTTGGTCCACAAGACCTGATAGAGGAACTAGGGGGAGGAAGTAAGTTATAATGCCTGAATCCATGATTCCCAAACTGAGAGCAATATGGATCTGGTGTAGCACTTGTAACAAATATCAATTACTGTGCCCCACCCTAGAGATCTCTGAGGCTCCAGAGACTCACACGTGGCCAATAAG